AAGGGAGCAGGCAAGCGGATTGTCAGGGATAGCAGGGATCGGTGCAGGCGGAGTTCTTTCTTAGTCAGGTCAGATCAGGATACAGGCAACAGAATCAGGTAATAGAGTGCAGGGACGTTGTAGACCAGAAGGCATTGATTTCACTGTATTGCAGGTTTTAAATAGCTCGCCTTGTGGTGACATGTACGCTACTGCGCATGCGCACTCGCACCGCCACAGCTCAAGGGGATCCGTCGCTCTGCTGCATGGCGACAGGTTCCCTGACTGGGAATAAAACTGGTAAATATTTAATGAAAGCATTGAGAAATAAGAAATCAAGGAATTATATACAGAAGATCAAAAGTGATAATGGAGAAATGGTCTACTCAACCACTGATATCGGTAATGTATTTAAAAAATATTATAGGAAGTTATAGAATGTTAAGAGGGGGGAAGAAGTAAGAACTAGAAAGAGACAGATGTACTTGAAAGAGGCAAGACTACCGAGAGTGGAAGAGGAACGATTAATTTGTCTAGAAAAACCAATAACGCAGGAAGAATTCAGGCGGCACTAAAGAGTACAGTGATGGGGAAGAGCCCAGGGCCAGATGGGTATATTACAAAAAATGTAAAGAACAATTAGTCCCTAAGCCGAGTCTATACATGAATGCATTAGGAGAGGGGTTAGAAATGAGGGAGGAGTCATTGCAAGCATATATTACAATCATCCAGAAAGAGGGAAAAGATGGACCTCAATGCGCTAGTTATAGACCCATCTCACTGTTAAATACAGATACCAAATGACATGCAAAGGTCCTGGCAAATAGGTTGAAAGACCTAATGCTGGATTATATTCACCTAGATCAGGTGGGGTTTGTCCCCGGGAGGGAAGAGATAATTGGTTGAGATCAGTATTCTTCATACAAAAAAGTAAGAAGGAAAAACTCCCCATCCTGATATTATCAGTAGACGCAGACAAAGCTTTTGATAGGGTGGAGTGGGACTTTGTTAGGTACATTGGAAGTTCTGGGAATTGGTCCCAAAATGAGAGAGTGGATAGGAAAGTTATATAGTCGACCCTCAGCAGTAGTAAAGGTCAACGGCTCGTTGTCAGAGTTTTTCAGGATGTTTAATGGGACAAGACGAGTGCCCGCTCTTGCCATTGTTGTTTGCTATGTCGTTGGAACATCTTTTAGCAACAATAAGGAATAGTATAGATGTGAAGGGGATAAAAATAGGGGAGACAGAACACAAAGTGGCACCGTATGCTGATGATATGCTATTCTGTGTGGCTAATCCTAGGTTTTCCTCAAATCCTACCTAATTTGATGAAAATAATGAAATACTATGGAGAGCTGTCAAACTTAAAAATAAATCCGGTAAAATCAGAGATTTTTAATGTTAGTGTCTTGATAACTGAAAAGAAAGCCCTGTATGGAGAATTCCCCTTTCTATTTAGGAATAAAATGGAATTCCTCCTTAAAGAACTTGTATAAAATAAATTATATCCCACTAATAAACAAGATTAAGGAGGAATTGAATCATGAATAGGACGAATAAACTTGGTAAAAATGGTAATTGTTCCGAAAATACTATATAAATTCCATATGTTACCTATACAGCTCCCGAGAACCTATTTTATTGTAATTTAAAAAAATGATACTGAGAATTATTTGGAAGAATAAGAGACCGAGAATAAGTTATTAAGTATTATGTAGAGACAAGGAGAATGGGGGGTTAAACATGCCTGATTTTAAGAGATATTATTACTCAGTACTATTGTCACATATTTTTGATTGGACACACAACGCACAAGGGAAAAGTTGGGTGAACATAGAAAACACTTTAAGTGGGACACAGTTGAATAAGATGGTATGGATGCCGCACCAGCACCATAAGTTGGCAGAGAGCACAAGAACTTATACACGAAATGTAATTCATAAATAAATGGGGTGGGAATTTAACTCTCTGCTGATGCCATTGGTGGCCTCAGATGATTTCCTTCCAGCGAAGGAATATTTTCAGGTAAATGGATAAAAAAAGGGGATGCACAGTTAAGACATAATGAAGGCAGAAGAAATATGCTCCTTTCAGGAGCTACAAAATAAGGAGCTGTTCTTTAAGCTAAGATGAGTGAGACATAAGCAGAGAGTAGACAAATCACCACTGTGTTGGAAGGGATGTGAAATTAAGGGCACAATGGCACATATTTGGTTGTTTGGTGGGAGTGTCCTAAAATACAGAAATATTGGGGGGAAATAATACAAATACAGGAGATCACCAAGGTTAATATCCCGAAAGACCCAGGCACATTTTTATTTCATAAAACATAGGCCACAGTAGAAAACTATTAAAATTTGGTGATTATTTCATCTTATAAATGCAGCGAAGATACCTAAATTTTGGCAGGAACAAGAGGTACCGAAAATAAATGATTGGATAAGTAGGGTGGATTATGTGTATAAGATGGAGGAACTCCACCATATGAAGGAGGATAAAATTGAGAGATTTTGAGACAGGTGGGGAAAAATGGGATGTGTAGAAGATTAAATAATGGGAGAGATGGAGAAGGAGGAGGAAATTGAGAAGGAAAAATAGAGACAGATGAGAAGGAGAAGGGAGTCCCGAGAATATTTAGAAGTGAAGAGGAGCTAGCGGGAAAAGAATTTGAGGTAGATTGGGACATGCGTGGGTGGGGGCAGAGGGTTGGGAAAGGGGGGGGTTGGATCCAGGAGGGTAACTTTAAAGGAAATTGTTTTTGTATTTGAATGATGATAATTTATTGATCTTAGGTGAATGGCTCAAGGGAAGAGGTCATAACCAGGTGACACAAGCGCATGATGCCAGACATGATCCTGCAATGTGTTGTGTAATACTGGGCGATGTATTTTAGCTGGGCTGCCTGATAATATTTTGTAAAGTTTGGAAGGCCTAGGCCACCTCGTAGTTTCAAATGCATTAAAACTGCATACACAATTATATCTGGGGTTCCACTAAATTACACTTATCTAGAACAGATAATGCAGTGAGACTACAACTGGAAGCACCCTAAACAAAGAATTTTGGGCAAAAGAATCATCTTGACCACTGCTATGTATGTAGCCCATCCATGATACATCCAGAGTACCAATGGGACTTAAGGATAGTCAAGTGGGCAAGCATCACAAGGTAATTGGCCTGGTAGAGTGTGGGGGATGGGAGGTCAGCTTAATGCCTAAGTAGGTGAGACTGTGTAAGACTTACTTAAAAGAGAAGTCTGATTGTAAATGGTGTAGTATAGGAGTGGCAAGTGTTATGTTTGTAGGGTTTTATTGTTTTTTTTTTTTTTTTATTAAGGAAAAAAGTTTATTGAACAAAAAATAGTAGCACATTACAAACATTTGTTGTTAATTACAACAGTACTATTCCAGAGTAAAACCATGATATGCACAGATAGGGCAAGTGCAGTGTACAGCCATGCTATCCGCATCTACCAGGTAGAACAGATAGAGAATCATCAGGAACCTGACAGAGCAATTACAGATGTCAGCAGCAATATCTCACAGCATACAGAAACCCAGTAGACAGGGGTAAAGATCATAGAGCAATAGTACACACTGTTACAAAAGGGAAATGATCATAGAGCAATAGTACACACTGTTACAAAATTCTGTCCATGGCAACTTTCCTGGACAGCTTTTATGTTGAAAAATGATTAATCCATTCTCTATGAGTTGGGGTCTGGTCGGTCTTCCACTATTGTAGAATTTGTTTCCTAGCCTGGAATAACAATTTTTCTTGCTGCCCTCTGAAATTCAGTTAAGTTATCCGAAATACATAGTATGCAGCATTTAGGGTCCAAAGGAATAGTGGTTTGAAACACCATTTTAATAGTGTCCAGTAGTGGTGTAACTTAGGGCAGCGCCATAATAAAAGCATATAGATCACCCTGAGCTGTAAAGCATTTGGCCCAGTGTCTGGCAAGGCCTCCCGTTACTATCTAGGGGGAGGGTTCTGATGACATATATAGACACCATTTCAGGAATCAGCGGCAATTAAGTTGTTAACTAACACTGTGTCCCGTAATGTCCCTGATGATGCCACTGTGAACTGCGAAACATGTCGGCATATACCAACGGGACATGACACAGCCATGTATTTGGATGGTTTCATGAAAGTTGATGTGCAAATAAATGTATGAATTTTACATGGTGGTCATACAATTTTCCACAAGTTTTAATTGTATTCTAATAAATGTTGTTTTATTGAATTGTGTTATGTATTTAGTATGGTGGCTTTAAAGTCCTGTTTATACTGAGGGGTTTTTCTCCTTTTTCTTTCTTGGTTTGAATACATTGGGATGTGGCACCTTATGTCTACTTCCTGAGATGTGGTAATTTTATTGTTCTAGTGTTATATATTAGCAAGTAGCAAGGTGCAGTGAATCAATACGTTAATAAAATGATTATATCCGCAAATATATACCTGTGCGGTGAATCCAAATAAAAAACAGATTTGCATAAAGATAAAATGCCAAGTATCAACAGTAAAGCATAAATCATAGATCCCACCAGAGATGTTATTTGATATTAACCACTAGCCTACAGGGCACTTATACCCCTTTCCTGCCCAGGCCAGTTTTCAGCGCTGTCACACTTTGAATGACAATTGCGTGGTCATGCAACACTGTACCCATATGACATTTTTATCATTTTTTTTAGACAGAGCTTTTTTTTGGTGGTAATTAATCTCCTGCTGGGTTTTTTATTTTATGCTAAACAAACCAAAAACAGAAAATTTTGAAAAAAAAAAAACTAGTTTTTTTCTTAGTTTGTGTTCTAAAATTTTGTAAATAAGTGATTTTTCTCCTTCACTGATGTGCGCTAATGAGGCTGCAGTGATGGGCACTGATATGCTGCACTGATGGGAACTGATGAGAAGGCACTAGTAGGTGCCACTGATGGGCATTGTCAGGCATCACTGATGGGCACTGAAAGGCAGCACTCATATATGGCACTGATAGGTGGCATTGATAGGCAGCACTGATGGGCACTCATTGGCAGCACTGATAGGTGGCACTGACTGGCGCTGATAGATGACACTGAAAGGCAGCTCAGATGGGCATGGATATGTGGCATTGATGTGCACTGGTAGGCACTGATATGTGGCATTGATGAGGCACTGATTGGCACTGGCAGGTGGCATTGATGAGCATTGATTGGCACTGGCAGGTGGCATTGAGCACTGACAGCTGGCATTGATGGGCACTGACAGGTGGCACTTTCTGGGGGCACACTGATCATCAGTGCCCTGATGATCAGTGCCCATGTCCCCTCCAAGGAATGCTGATTACCGGCTCTTCTCTCGAGCTGTGAGCGTGACAGCTCATGAGGAGAGAAATGCGGATAACCGGAATTTCCCTATTTACATTTGATCAGCTGTGATTGGACACAGCTGATCACATGACCGAGCCGACATCTTGGGCTCTTTCCGTTGATCAGAGATCCGCTGTGTCCAAGGGACACAGCGGACCACCGATCGCCACGCTGCGCGCTCCTGAAACCACGCATGCGCAGTTAGAGTGGGAGGATTTCATATGGTGTCCTCCCATAATGAGAGAACCTCCTTGCGCCCGTCATTACCTTATATGGCGGGCGGGAGGCGGTTAATATCCACTTCAGTATTGATTTGACACAGGTTTTATGCTTGAGAATTATTTCAGTCTGAGTCCCATCTTGATCCTTTTGGATGCGGGGTGGGGGGATCCTGAGTGTGTTTGGATTAAACTATAGCTCCCAGTAATGGTATTATGCTCATACTAATTTACACCTTTTTTTTCTTTTTCTTTTTTTTTTTTTTTTTTTTTTTTTTATGTCCCAGAATTTGTTATAATTAATTATTTTTAGTGTCCTCCAGGTTTAACCCCCCTTTTTATAGTATTGTATTTTAGTTCCATCTATAGACCTGGGCAATTACACTAATCAGGGGTTACAACATTATGGTTCCTTGGAATCTGTGTGTACACAGATCCTAGGGAAAAAACAGCAGATTGCTATGGACTACAATAAAATGGCCACCAACCAGTGGAATTTCACATTATTATTTAATGATGTGTATTCTGCCTGCTGCTCTTCCCCTGATGAACTCACGTGACTCGTGACATAATGCGTAGGGCCTAAACGGAGGCAGACGGCGGACCGAAAATGACAAATGCAGAAGCATAATCTGGTCTCCCTGATAGTTTTTACTGTGTTTTAACAAATTTTATGGGTGTAAGAACATTACCTTTTAATAAAAATCTGATGATATATATTCATACTACACTATTGGAGGCCTTTCTTTTTCCCTTTATCTTGGCAAGACTAATAGGGTCTTATGAATGCAAATGAGCCTTAAAGGGACTTCGACATGTCTGTAGCTGGAGCATTGGGAACACAGGAGCAAGGCCTTTAGTGGTGTGAGTGTTGGAGTCTTTATGCACCAACATCAATAGGTCTCCATGGAGGTGAGAGTTTTGTGAGCATTGAGGTGTTAGATGTCACAGGAACAGGACACATTGTGATATGTATATTGGAGCACTATACTGGATGATGTTGATTTTCACAATCACGAAAGAAGTGTTATATTATGAATGAACCATTTAAAGAACTGTATATTGAAATACTTTATCACTTTTTTGCTAACTTATGGGTTGGTACTCAGTGTGCTGTATAATGGGTTTTTTACAGGGCAACTATGCCAGCCTTAAGGGAAGCAAAGGATCAAAATGCTTTGACCCATTTAGCTGGAGAATTAAGGCCCTTTACATTAAGGGACAATATATTTAAAGGGGACATGTGGTCTAAAATAGATGAACCTCGATCAGTACACCCCTATAGCCAAAACCATGGGGACAAGGAAGAGGGAGGGAAGAGAGAAAGGGTGGAAGAAGGAAAAGGAGGAAAGACATCAAAGCATATATCTGAATAGCAAATGCATACACAGTTGAGTAGACTGAATAATACATTTGGGATTCGCTGTTCAGAAATAATAGTCCGTCCCAAAGCCATACATAATGGCCAGGAGAGGGAGTCAGGTTGGGGCCCAGTAACTACTGCCTGCTGAAACCGAGGCATTTATACAAAAGAACAGCAGAATTGAATTAAAAGAAATTAAAGCCTGAGATGAATTTGTACAGTGGGAGCTCAGCCCTGCATATAGTAAATTCAACTAGGAGGGAAGGGGGAAAAAGGAAAAAAAAAAGGTTTGGTGAACAAAGGAGGAGATAATGGGCAAATAAAAGGCACAAAGGTGAGCCAACACCCACGTAAAACTGTCATTGCAACTGTAAATAGACAGCAGACAAACATACCATGAAAAAAATTAAAACCCTCATATTTTTTTCTCAGTATCTAAATAAACTAAATGAACTGCATAAGTAGAGTTCAAAAGGGAAGGGAAAAAACTGGACAGTCATGTTTGTAAAAAAAAAAGGGAAGTACTGCTGTGCAATAAAAGAATGCTCAAAAAAAGAAAAACTGGGGAGTAATACCCAATCTCAATGACATAAACAAATGACTGGGACACATTTAATGGTAATCTCATACAGGAAACAAAGGTGTAATAAGTGAATGGAGTAAACTTGCTGCAGAGGAAAGCAGTCATCCAGGTCTGTCAGCTCTTGACGATTAAGAGTGTTGTCCTGGCTGACGGGACAGAGTGCTTTTAATTTTGAGAGTTAATTCTTTGGTGGCCCATTGCAGAGTGGCATTGTAGGGTCCAGGGGTCTTCTGCTTTGGTGTATGGGGCGATTGTGTCAAAGCCTGCTCATCCAGAGGAGTTGGCTGGAGAACTGCTTAGAGCAGGCAGTCTGGGGATGAACTGGTATACTGCTTGCCAATATGAGAGAATTGGATGGCAAATGGGAATGACCAGAGGTATCTGATTTGATGTTCAGTGAGTACTTGGATCTTTGACTTTGTGGCTCTCCTTTTCGCAAGTAGGAGGGGAGCCAAGTCAAAAAGAAAAATCAGCAACCATTGCCTTGAAATGACAAATATTCTGTGGCTCTAGCAACTGCCAGAATTTGCTCCATTGTGCGATAAAAGTGGAATTTCACTATTATATCTCTGGGAGGACAATCTAGTAACTTCCTGGTCAGTGCATAATGAAATCTGTCCATCCCTAAAATCTCAATTGGGAGTGATGGTATTCGCTCCTGAAATAGTGTAATTGATGTGAATGGGAGTCCACAATGAATTTGGATAGTCCAAAACTCAGGATTTTCAACAAATGTAACATCCATGTTTTCAAAGTCTAGACATACACTGAAACAAAAACTTGTACATAAAACAGATCCAACTCCCAAACACAAGCAAAGTAATTTAGTACATGCAATCCAGTGTTGTGCAAATTTATAGCTGGATGATAAATTTGTCAGGACTTGGCAGACTTCTTACAACTTTAGGAAAAGGAACATCCTCTTTGGGACAAGGAGGACAACTGGTTCCCAAGAGATATGAAAGGCCATCAATGTCAAATGTGGGTCGGAGTCTTCAACACTTTCTGTCTCTCACATATAACATTTTAACATCTCTTCCCTGGCAATTTTACAACAGCTCACACCTTTAGCAAGGTACCATGAACGAAGTCCTGTCCCAGAATTCATGTCACTATGAGATTGGACAATCAACATCTGTTTTAAAGCTGAAGTTTAATGCACTTATATTTTGCCTTCCTTGGTTTCTTCTTTATCTCTTCTCCCCCATTACTGAAAATGCAAAATTTTTTATTTATTTTTTTAAACAAAACCTTTCCGTTTTCATAGTCTTTGAACTTCTCTATGCAATAGAAGCAGATCATGGTTAGTGAAAGGTGTCGACAAGGTTTTGTGTATGTGGTTTCATGAAAACGTCTCAGCGTCATGCTTCAGTACTTCTCCCAAGACCCCTCAACCCTGATGTAAGCAGAGGGCTGGTTCTTGGGTGGAGGTATGCAAATATCAATATGCTTTTAGAAGTGTATATCTAGAGGAGTGGGCTTTTCTAAGCACAGTCAAAGCAAAATAAAAATGAATGATAGAGGTGGGACAGGGAAAGTCAGACTGGGGGTGGAGGGGCTAGATTATGCTGGATGTCTTTCAGCCAGGTAATTCAGCACAGTGTGCCATGAAATCTGAGTAATCGATTTTAGTACAGATCAGCAGCTTGTATAGCTGTGAAAGACTGACGGTAAGGCATTCAGCTTTAAAGGATAAGTTCACTTTTGGGAACAAGTTACATGTTCCACCTGTTTTTTTGGTAAGTCTTTACCAAGTATTTATAGACCTGTTAGTTTAACTTCTATAGTTGGGAAGATAATGGAGAGTTTAATAAAAGACCACATAGATGAGTTCTTGCTGGAAAAAAATATTTTAAGCAACAGACAGCATGGATTCATGAATGACAGATGTTGTCAAACAAATTGATTTCTTTTTATAAGGAGGTCAGCAAAACATTGCAGAGTGGTGGCGGTGGATATGGTATACCTGGATTTTGCAAAAGCATTTAACAACGTTCCCCACACACAGCTAATGTGTAAGCTAAAGTCTACAGGCTTGGAAAAATCTGTATATAAATTGATAGAAAACTGACTAAAAGATCATATTCAGAGAGTAGTGGTTAATGATTCATACTCTGAACGGTCTAGGGTTGTTAGTGGTGTACCTCAAGGTTCAGTGTTGGGACCCTTACTTTTTAATTTGCAAATAATATAGTTTCTGGGATTAAAAATACCATTTCGGTCTTTGCAGATGACACCAAGAATAACATGCTTACAGGGTGTCTCCAACTCACAAGCCGACCTCAGTTCACTGTTTAATTGGGCAACTATGTGGCACATGAGGTTTAATGTTGATAAATGTAAGGTTATGCACTTGGGGCTAAGAATATTTATGCATCATACATACTAGGGGGAGTACAACTGGGGGAATCAATGGTGGAGAAGGATTTGGGAGTTCTGGTAGATCACAAGCTTAATAATGGCATGCAATGCCAAGCTGCAGTTTCTAAAGTGAGCAAAATCCTCTCTTGTATTAAAAGAGGTATAGACTCCAGAGAGAGAGAGAGAGAAATATCATTTTACCACTGTACAAATCATTAGTAATACCTCATCTGGAATATGCAGTTAAATGTTGGGCACCAATTCACAAAAAGAACATTGTGGAACTGGAGAAAGTACAGAGAAGGGTAACCAAGCTGATAAGAGGCGTGGAGGAGCTCAGCTATGAGGAAAGATTAGAGAAAGTTAATTTATTCCCTCTTGAAAATAGATTAACCACTTGCCTGCCGGGCACTTACAGTATACCCCCTTCATGCCCAGGCCAATTTTCAGCTTTCAGCACTATTGTACTTTGACAATTGCGTGGTCAGGAAAAATTGTACTCATATGACATTTTTATCATTTTTTTCACACAAATAGAGCTTTCTTTTGGTGGTATTTAATCGCCACTGGGTGTTTTATTTTTTTGCCGGCCAGTGATCTGAC